GAACTGGTCCCCTGTTTAAAAAGTTTGAGGACCCCTGCACTATGACTTCATTTTAACTAACGACATCTGCCAAGACCCTATTTCTAATTAAGGTCACAATCTGAGGTTCTGTGTGGATGAGAATTTGGGGGGACACTATTCCAGCAAGTATAACACATTACAAATGATAAAGCCCTTCTTGTTCCTGATGCTACACGGATGCTTCTGACCATGGGCCTAAAGATCATCAGCCGTGAGGACATTATTCTGAGTGAAATATGCCAGTGACAGACAAATAATGTAGGATTCTACTTATAGGAGGTACCTGGAAGTGGTCCAACTCATAAGGTGAACAGGAACATGGGGGTTGCCGGGGATGGAGGGAGGGGGAGTGAAGAGTTGCTGTACAAGGGGTGCAGAGTTTGAGCTTTGCAAAATAAGGAGAGTTCTGGAGAATGATTGTACAACAAGGTGAGCATATGTGGCACCACCAAACTGCACACATAAAAGTGGTTAAGGCGGTAGGTTTGATGTTATGTCTACTTTGCCACAATTAAAAACATATTTGGTCATTCCTGGCCCAGCGTGGAAACCTGATTGCTAACATTGTTTTGTTTCGGGTGGAGGAAACAGCATTCTGAGTTCATAGACCTTTTGCCACGAGGTCGCTGTGAGTGAGTGTCTGCCTGGGCGTCAGTGTGTGACTGTTCTGTCTTGTTCTTCTCCAACGCCCTAGCTATAACCTGGGCAGTGGTGTGGCATCCATCCTGGTGAACGGCTCCTTCAGCGATGGTCGGTGGCACCGGGTCAAGGCTGTTCGGTGAGTACCTTCCACGGCGCAGGACAGAGCAGAGCCCAGCAGCGGTGGGACGTGCTCTCCAAGTCCCTTTAGTCCCATGTCCTCTTCCCCAGCCTTGCCTGGCCTCCCACACTCCTCATCCAGGGCATTTTGCTACCAACTCCCACCTGTGCCCTCCACTGACAGTGAACTCCCAAAGCTTCACTCACCAGCGGCTTTCTGGAGAAATTATTTATATATTTATGTTAATCCTCACCTGAAAATATTTTTTCCCGTTGGTTTTTAGAGAGAGTAAAAGGGGGAGGAAGACAGAGAAAGAGAGAGAGAAACATCGATGTAAGAGAGACACATGAGTTGGTTGCCTTTCTGCACGGCCCCAACTGGTGACCGGGGATCGAACCTGCAACCTAGGTACGTGCCTTTGGCCCTAATCAAACCCATGAATCTTGGGTGCACTGGCCAACACTCTATCCACTGATCCACACTGGCCAGGGCTGGAGAAATAACTTTTTGATGGCTACCTGTAAGAGGGCCCCCTATTTAGTGAGATCTGGGTATCACTACTGGGATGAAATTTGGGGGCATATGGACTTTGAGGAAGGCTCCACATCTCATTATGTAGGCAGTTGCCCGCTTTTTCTTTGACATCACTTCGCCTGAACCTCAAAAGCTCTGTGTATCCTGCCCCTCACAGAAGTCACTACCCTGATTATGTCACTCCCTTAAAATTATGGTCTTGCTACCTATGTCCATATTCCTAACAATATATTGAGAAGTCAAATAGCAGGCCCAAATGGAGCAGTGTGAAGAAACCTCAGTCTTGCCATGTTACTGCAGGTTCCAGGAGATGAGCCGAACAGAGGTTTTTATTTGGGTTCCCTGAGAATTTACCACAACCCTTTCTGGGGAGGTTAGTGGGTGAGGTCAAAGGTGAGGCTTGGGAAACATGGGGTCACCAAGGTCAGTTTCTTACTCTGCACACATACAGCCTATAGTGGGAGTAGCCTTGCTGGACCCCACTCTCTTTTCCATGGTGCCTGCCTTTGATACCCTAGAGCAGTGGTCGGCACACTCATTAGTCAACAGAGCCAAATATCAACAGTACTTCTTCAAAACAGACTCGCCCAGGCCGAAAACCGACTTCTGCGCATGGGCCATGAAGTTTCAATCGCACTGTACGCGCACCTGCACGTGGTATTTTGTGGAAGAGCCACACTCAAGGGGCCAAAGAGCTACATGTGGCTCTCGAGCCGCAGTTTGCGGACCTCGGCCCTAGAGCAAGCATGTCAAACTCAAAGACTAGCATGGGCCATATAAACAAGGCATGCGGCCCGCAGGCCCCAAATATGACATGCTTGCCCTAGAGGAGGTGTGAGGACACAGAGGCAGATCTGTGCCCATCAGCTGCCCACATAGCATAGGAAGTCCTGGTGATACTGATTTTGATGAAGCCCAACTCTTGACTTGTTGAACAAATGATATAAATATTAATATCATCAGAGAGATAAAAGAGGTTATTTTCATAAGAAACAAGAACTGTTTGCTGTAGAAAAGGAACATTAAAAGACCAATAAAGAAGTGCAGCCTGGGTCGGTATCCCCCACGAGAGCTATGGACGCAGACGTGCTTTTTGAAGAAGCGCAGGGCTGGATGGTTTGGGGAACCTGCAAAGCCCTTCCACTCCACTGTCCTCGGAGTCACTTTTGGGTGATTCTTTGGGTCCTTTCAAAACTTCTAAGCCAGCGGTTCTCAACCTGTGGGTCGCGACCCCTTTGGGGGGTCGAATGACCCTTTCACAGGGGTCCCCTTAGACCATCGGAAAACACATATATAATTACATATTGTTTTTGTGATTAATCACTATGCTTTATGTTCAATTTGTAACAATGAAAATACATCCTGCATATCAGATATTTACATTATGATTCATAACAGTAGCAAAATTACAGTTATGAAGTAGCAACAAAAATAATTTTATGGTTGGGGGTCACCACAACATGAGGAACTGTATTAAAGGGTCGCGGCATTAGGAAGGTTGAGAACCACTGCTCTAAGCCATTCTTTGTCCTTCCCTAGAGTAATCCTCCACCTGTGAAACCTACTTCATGGTTTCCCATTGTACTCGAAATAACATACAAACTCACCATGTGTTAATTCTTCTCTGGTTCCCTCTCACCTGCAGGATACGTTCTCACGAAGCTCTATGTGCCCTGCACCCTCAGCTCTGGCTTCCTCTCTGTCCACTCAGCTCTCACCTCCAGAATTCTCGGTGCAGTCTGCATCAACCCCTTGTCTTCTCTCTCTCTCTTCATAGCGACTTCCTGTTGGCATCTGCTTCCTCCTGCACTTGACCTACCCAGCCTTCAAAACTCATCTCAGGCAGACTCCCTGGGGGAAGCTTTTCCTGACCCTCTCTCCGACTCCTGTCACCCCACAGGGTGCTGGCGGTCTTCCACCGTCCCGTGGTGACACTGAGTTGTCATTTGTAATTTGATTGTTTTGTCTTCCTCAGTAGACCTAAAACTCCTGGGAGCCAGGAATGTGTTTTTTGTTTTGTCTTCTGTTTTCATCTTTGCAGCTCTATCATTTAGCATAGTGCCTGGTGCAGAGTAGGTCCTTTCCTACATTTTCATTGAAATGAATTGAACAATTGAATGAAACTCCCGAAATGGTGGTGGATTTTTCCAGGGACGGTCAATCGGGAAAGATAACTGTGGATGACTACGGGGCCAGAACAGGAAAATCACCTGGCATGATGAGGCAGCTCAACATCAATGGAGCTCTGTACGTGGGTAAGTGACCTTGGACCAGATCTAAGTTATGCCCTTTGGGTGTTACTCCTCCATTGGCCGTGCTGGGGCTCCTTCAAGGCATGTGCTTCCCTGGACCAGCCAAATGCTTGGAAATAGGAAGCTCTCCAGAGAGTCCATTCTCCCTTTTCTGAACTTCTGACTCATGGTGAGGGGGCAGGAAGCACTTAGAGGCCTTTGTGCTTTGGATGGATCCACCAGGAAAACCATGCTTTTCTTGTTATAGAACAGGAATCTGCTAAATATAGCTCCGAGAATTCCCTCCAAGGAAGGAGGATCTGTTTTCCTGGCCCCTTTCAGAAGTAGAATGAGTAGTATTTCTGTAAATAACTTAGAACCCGCTAGTGCACACATGTAAGTATGCAAAGATGTCTCCCTCCGTATGCTTTCTACACGTGGACTTAATTGAAAGCACTCAACATCCGTGAATTTCTTTCAGCTTAAGACAGTGGTCAGCAAACTTCGGCTCACAAGCCACATTCGGCTCTTTGGCCCCTTGAGTGTGGCTCTTCCTAAGCCTTAGGCGTTACCCTAATTAAGTTAATAACAATGTACCTACCTATATAGTTTAAGATTAAAAATTTGGCTTTCAAAATGAATTTCAATGGTTGTACTGTTGATATGTGGCTCTGTTGACTAATGAGTTTGCCGACCACTGGCTTAAGATGACAGCACCTCTAACTACACACTACATTTTGTTGATATTATACAACATTTCAAAATTCACCAGATTTGGTTTGAAGTGACCAACTGGGTCAGAAATCACACACAATGTAGGTATTTATAGCCTCTGGCTGTGTATCAGATTGAACCAAGTCAACCTGTTCCTTCAAGGATAATTCTAAAGTAGATGTGATGCACTGAGCCGTTCGAGGGACCCACAGTCCTCACGTAGCCTGTCAGCCCAGGGACACCTTGGTCAGCAGACTCTCAAGTATCCGAAGGAAACACGGTTCCCTGTGGCTCACCCCATCTCCCTCTGGCTCCCCGGCAGGTGGAATGAAGGAAATCGCCCTGCACACTAACAGGCAATACCGGCGAGGCCTCGTGGGCTGCATCTCTCATTTCACCCTGTCCACCGATTACCACGTTTCCCTCGTGGAGGACGCCGTGGATGGGAAAAACATCAACACTTGTGGAGCCAAGTAACACCAGCTGGCCTTGCCCAAGGGACGGAGCCTTCTATCCTGAGAATCCCGGGGGCCCTGAGACCCTGCCTGATGCCCCGTGCCATTCACAGAGGCATGGGGGCCAGGTGTGTTTCCTCTCACCCAGGAGAAAGGACACCTGATGAGAGCCTGGACCCAACATAGGAGTCTCCGTGTGGCCTTTCCTGCTGGCACTGCGTGCGGGCCACACCCCATGGAATCCTCTGTGTGGGAAGCATCGAACATTGTCTGTTGACTGTGCAGTGGCCGTCAGAGATCACACATGAAGGCAAATTCCGGAGCCCGTCTGCTGTAGTCAATGACTGTGTTGTGATTCATCGTGCAGTGAACTAAGAAAAGAGAGAGAGACCCAAAGGGCAGTATTAAAATATTCCTTTCCTTCCCTGACTCATGACACTTACTGACAGCAGAATGACTGTGTGACCTTGAACCTGGGATTTCTCACCTTGGCCCATGGAATATCAGGATTAACCCCTTCCACTCCCCACTGGCTGGTTCAATGTGCTCTGACTATTCCATGAAAATAAGGAGGAGAAGAGACTAAACATAGAATCATAATGCTGCCCCTCCTTAATGAGAAATCCCTACTTTTTATAATGCTAATCTAAAAACAGGCACCCCGATTTTGTAGCTGTCCTTTTGTATGTGTATATTTTTATAGCAGCTGATAGTCCACACAGTATAATTTTGCAACTTTGAGTGGACAACCCTGAATTCTTGGCACAGTTCCTAAAAATTTTCTCCCAAAGGAGACTTGTGGGGGCCCTTCATGGCACCAGTGGGGTAGGTAACTGGGGGTGGGCAGTCTCTTGGAGAGCTGACCATTCTGTTTTGGTAAATGGTGACCGCTCGAGGAAATGGATCTGAAGCTTCCAAAATAAGCAGATTAAAAGATACATGTGTTCCTGAGGGGGGTCACTGTCATTTTTGTTTTAAGAGGGGAACCTAATCTAATAAAAGACAAACATGCAAATTGACCATACCTTCGCTATGCTTTAAGCCATGCCCACCAGCCAATCAGAGCAACTATGTGCAAATTAACCCAACCAAGATGGCAGCCGGCAGCCATGGAGCTGGAGTGAGCAGGAGGCTTGGTTGCACCAGTGATGGAGGAAGCCAAGCTTCCCGCCTGCCGCAGCCGGCTCTGAGCTCCACTGAAGGCAACAAAGTTTCAATTACAGAAGGTAAATAAATCCCAGAATAAAAAAGAAAAAAAGGAGAGGCTGGGAGCTTCCATCGCTGGGGGGCTTGGCCAGCTTGAAAACGGCCCTCAGCCCCTCACCCAGACTGGCCAGGCACCCCAGAGGGGACCCCCCACCCTAAAGGGGGTGTGACCAGCCTGCAAACACCCATCAGCCCCTCACCCAGGCTGGCCAGGCACCCCAGCAGGACCCCCACCCTGATCCTGGACACCCTTCAGGGCAAAACAGCTGGCCCCCACCTGTGCACCAGGCCTCTATCCTATATAATAAATGGGTAATATGCAAACTGACCCTAACAGCAGAACAACTGGGAATGACTGGTCACTATGATACACACTGACCACCAGGGGGCAGACGCTCAATGCAGGAGCAGCCCCCTGGTGGTCAGTGCGCTCCCACAGGGGGAGCTCTGCTCAGCCACAAGCCAGGCTGACGGCTGCCAGTACAGCGGTGGTGGTGGGAGCCTCTCTCGCCTCCTCAGCAGCGCTAAGGATGTCCGACTGCAGCTTAGGCCTGCTCCCCGCTGGCAAGTGGACATCCCCTGAGGGCTCCCGGGCTGCCAAAGGGATGTCTGATTGCCAGCTTAGGCCCAAAACCCTGGGGAGCGGGCCTAAGCCAGCAGGTGGTCATCCCCCGAGGGGTCCAGGGGGCACGGGGGGGGCGGGGGGCCCCCCCCCCCCCCAGTGCACAAATTTTTGTGCACCGGGCCTCTAGTGTTTATAATAAACTTGAATCAAGGAGATGAAGAAGGGTAGAGCTCATTCACTTAGTCATTCATTCATTTGTGCAGGTGTCTGAACCCTGCACAGGCCCATCCAGAAATGGGTGCTGAGACAATTAGTGTCCCTAAGGCTGTACTGGGGTGGGGGTTGGGGGCGGAAAAGCAGGAATGCTTCCTTCTGAGCCAACGGCTGTCCCTTTGCCATTCACGCACATGACGATGGAGACAGCTGGCTGGCAGAGTCCCATGACATGACTCGCCAAGGGAAAGGTGAGATGCACGCTGCCCCCAAAGAGCAGGGAAATATGATCCAATGCACACAAGAGCCTATGTTTAGTCCCAGTCATGACTCACCCTTGTTTGTGCAGCATTCATTCAGCGAAGACTTGGAGCTCTGTGCAGAGCACAGCTTAGGCACATTCAGAATTCTATAAAATGAATAAATAAACCAGAGACACTCACCTCGTGCTTTAACCTCTCCCTCCTGTCTTTGGGCTCCTTTGATGACCAGGATCCTCCCTCCCTCCCAGAGGAATAATGGTAACAACAACAACAACAATAACAATAATTCATCCTCTCCTACACATGTCTCCTTGCGTGTGCAGTTTGGAGAAAAGCCACGTGGTATGGTAGCAAGTGGGTTTTACGACCTCCCAGATGCCCTCCCCTCATACCTGTTCCTTGAAGGCAGCTCAGGCCAGTGCTTCCCAAGATGTAAGAGTTGCTTTCATAGCACATTTTGAGTCAGTAGCCTCCAGCCAAAAATATCATCGTGATTTTAGCAAAACATCCCGCTGAGCTGAAGCCAGAAGAGCTGTGTTGTAGATGAGCTATTGTTCCATGCGAGTGTCATCCAGGGAAGAATGCAGTGACCCAGGGATGCGGGCTGGGGGCGGGGGTGTTGAAGCAGATGAGAATCCTGAAGCACCGACTTGGGTGGGATGCAGGAGGGGCTGAAAGGGAAGGGGTGACAGACACCATGATGGATTCAAGGCAGTAGAGATCCTGCTGGTGAGAGGGCTGCAGGGACAGGGACCCAAGAGCAGCTGGTCACATGGGAGGCTCTGGGCAGGAGAACAGGGTAAGAGAACATCCCAAGCCAGGAGGAAGGTTCTGTGACCCCCTCAGTGAACAGAACCCAGGAGATGCGGGATGAGTTGATAGCAGAGGTGGTTGTGAGGATAAAAACTTGTCCTGAAGCTGAGGGATTAGACCCAGGTTCAGAGGCGGGAGAGCTGAGATGGGCTGAGCCTGGGTGTGTGGGTCCCCCGTTTTCTCTCTAAGTGCATCTGCTATCTGTATGTACAATAATGCCACATGGCAAACAAACACAGACCCCAGGGGCATACCAGGGTAAGTGTTTGTCGCTTACGTGCCTGAGTGTTCACCTTGGCAGCTCTGCCGATCTTGGCTGGCTCGACTAGGCGCTTCTTCTGGTCTCGCTGGACTTGGTCCCTGCATAGCAGTTGGCTAATTTAGGATGGCCTTGCCTGAGACGGCGAGGTGACTCGAGTCAGCTCCATGTGGCTCTCACGCTCCTCCTGGGACCCGTGGGAACCCGACATGCCCTTTGCATGATGATGGAGGAGGGTAAGGGCACTAGAGGGAAGGTGTAAGGTCCTACACAGCTGAGGTCTGGAACTGCCACATCCTACGAGTTTAAGTTCATAAGAGATGAAAATACAGACTCCGCCATCTATCATTACCTGGCAAAGGGCATGGATACAGGGAGGGTGATGCAGTCATGTGCTGTTGGGAGAAGGGGTGCAGTAGTCCTTCTGTGGGGACCCTTGGTGGGGGACGGGGGTCTGTGAAGTTCTCAATGATTGGTCCAGCCAGGCCAGTCCAATGGGGCAGCATTTATCCCTCCCCACCCCCCACCTCCTCTGCTGCCTCCCCGTTCTCATTCTTCCACCTGCCCACCTGTCCACCTGTCCACCTGTCCTCTGCCACTTGCACTTGGGGGTCTGTGAAGTTCTCAATGATTGGTCCAGCCAGGCCAGTCCAATGGGGCAGCATTTATCCCTCCCCACCCCCCACCTCCTCTGCTGCCTCCCCGTTCTCATTCTTCCACCTGCCCACCTGTCCACCTGTCCACCTGTCCACCTGTCCTCTGCCACTTGCACTTGGTGATTCCGAGGAGGTGGGATCTGTGCTGGACTTCTGGGCATCGGCTCTGTGGGGGCGCATGTTGGAGAAGCTGGCTGGGCTCCTGGCCCTAGAGAAGTTTAAGGAGCAGCCAGGGAGCTCTCAGGTTCACACAGTCCGCGCCCTGCCCAGGAAGGCCCGCGTGAAGGACGGGTTCCTGGAAACCTTTGTCCCACCGGCAGGACCTGGGAGAATTCCCCAGAATTCCCCTTGTGTTCTGAGCAAGGATGGCTGGGGGGGAGAGGGGGTGGGGGTAGTGGAGGGGAAGGATTGTTCTTGCTTTTCCTAGTAACACTGACGGCCACACCCCCCTATTTCCTCTGAGCCCAGTCCTGGGGTTCTCTCGGGAAGGTCTGCGGGGCTCCCTTGTCCCCTCGCTGCTGCCCCAGAAGCTGGGAGGCAGTGATGACCGGCCTGCCAGGCACCACTGGGAGCCGCCTGCTCTCCGCCCCCTCGCTCGCCTCTCATTTCCGGAGCCCGTCCTGTTCCAGCCCCGGCTGCTCCAACACAAACAGGCCCTGCTCTCCCTCCAGCAGCCCTGGCCCAGTGACCAGCGCTTCCTTCCGATGGCCGCCCCGCCCTCCGCCCGGCCCTCCCTGAGTGGGAGGAAGGAGCTCGGAAAAGTGCCCGGAGCTGGCGGCCAGATCTCCACTTGGAGGAAACACTGCATTTTTCACCTTTAACCTAGAAAAATATGGTTCTCAGAAAGCTTGTTTTTAGCACTGGGAGTTCCCAGAGGAGGAAGCATGGGGAGCAGGAGGGGCCCGCGGCCTCTCTCAGGCTCCACAGCGAGCCCTGGGCCCAGGAGGCTGCCCCCGGGAGGGGACCCCTGGCGGCCTGGGAGGCCCAGCCCTGGGGACGAAATTCAGGCGAAGGCCCGAGGACAGGGGCTTGGACAAAGCAGCAGCTGCCTCCCATTCCGTCCCTGCTCTAAGCCCCGGCCTGGCCAGGAACACACCGAAGCTGCCCTGGAAGGTGGAGGGGTGGGTGCAGGTGGCCCTGTGACCCTCAGGCCCTCGGCTGAGTGGGGTGTGTGGTGAGCTTATCAAAGGCGGGAGAGGGTCCTGCAGGACTAAGTCCCCCAGCGCTGCCACCCAGAGGAGCCCAGAGAGCAGAGGACGCCAGCATAGTCAGAATCCCCAGTGAGGGGTGTGAGTGCTTGGGCCCACCCCGCAGGTCTTGCCCAGGGTGGATGGGTCACCCCCCTGTGTCCCCACCAATGCCTTCCCTGAACACAAAGGGAGAGATGCAGCCCCGCCTCCGCCACCCTGAGGGGGAAGGTCAGGGTCCCGCTGACAGGTGGTGGCCAGGCCGTGGCTTGCAGGTGGCTGTGCTCAGGCCGCAGAATGACTACGTAATCCAGCTCAACACATGGCGGCTCTGGGATCAGCCTGTAAGCAACTGCGCAGCCACCTCACATCCAAAGAATGTTCTTCGCAACAGCCCTCCTTAGCCGGGGGCCAGAGCCCATGGGCACGGCCTGCGTGACTCGGGAGGACGGAGGTTGGCCAGAGAGCCCGGGTTGACTTGCATGGTCCCACCACCACGACGCTTCACTGAAGCTTCTCTGCCCGTTACCCTGACCTTTGGGTGCAGCCTGCCCTGGGGCTCCCCGTCCACTGTCTGGCAGTGTAGTCCTGTGGGTGAGGGGGTCTGGGCACAGGCCAGTTCCTCCTCACAGCTCCACCTCTGCCTCCTTCCAAAGTTCTCCTACTGCACGGACCAGGGGCTGAACAAAGCTGAGAGCACAGACCAGAGCTGCTCCATCAGAGTTGGGGTCGGGTTCCCCAACAGGCCATGAGGTCTCGGTTGAAGTCTTTGCCCCTCTCTCCTTTGCTTTCCCGCCATGAATAACCTCCAGCGCACCGGGGCGCTGTGGCAAGCTCTTTCCAAGCAGCGGTGAGCCCCCCTGGGCAGAGCCTAGCCCTGGGCCCGCCACGACCCGGAGGAGCAGGCCAGGCTGCAGGGAGCGCCCTGCCTCTCCTCCTCGTCCTGCTGGCCTTGCCGAGACATCTTTGTCCTAGACGGGGCGCTGTGGCAAGCTCTTTCCAAGCAGCGGCGAGCCCCCCTTGGCAGAGCCTAGCCCTGGGCCCGCCACGACCCGGAGGAGCAGGCCAGGCTGCAGGGAGCACCCTGCCTCTCCTCCTCGTCCTGCCGGCTTTAAGTGCCTGGCTTCCAGGAGCTCTCGTCTTTTCCTGGAAAGACGTGAGGGGGACGCTGCTTCTCTGTCTGTCTATCTTCGTCTCTCTGACTCGCTCAAGTTCCACATGCTTTACAAAGACCCAGACATCTCCGAACAGGCGGCATGGCCTCCCCTCCGGCCCCGGCTGCCCACCTCCCAGCCGGGGCCCAGCCCGGGGCATGGCCTCCTGGGACAGCCCAGCGCTAGAGGCTGCAGCTCCCACGTGGCTAAAAGTTGACTTCGATGGAGGCCCAGGGAAGCTCAAAAGAAATCCGCTCCTGCAATGCACTCACTTAGAAACAAAAGTCACCGGCAGCAGACCAGGGGCTCAGCTGCAGGAGCCTGCGAGGAAACTGGCCGAAGGCAAAGCAAAGAAAGCGTCAGAGCCGAGGAGAGGGCTGTGCTGTGCGGCTATGAGGCCTGCTGCACGGCCTCAATTAATTACATGCATCAGTACATTCATAGCACGTACATATATATGACAATCCACTCATTCACACAGGACAATGTCTGAAAGGGTAGAAAGTAAAATGTTCAAAATGGCTAAAGCTGCGGAAGGAGATGGCGGGAGCTTTCTCTTTTTCCTTGTACCTGTTTTCATGTTCTTCAGCGAGCCCGCAGTGACTCTCTTGTTCTGTCCCCTCGGAATGTCATCTTGCGTCTTTGGAGGACTGGTCCTCCCTCACTCTAACACCAGGCGCTGGTGAAAGTGGCCTTGACCTAGTGCCTCTGCCCGGCCACGTGACTGGAGCAGGCACGTGACCCGGCCAGGCCAATCGCGGTCTTGGGTGGGGGCTGGGAGGAAGGGTGCTGTCTCCTTCATGGTAAGGCTGGCCGCTGGGAGGAGCCTGGAACCACCGGCCCAACTCTGCAAGGAAGTTTGGGATACAGAGAGGGATGTGTGTGACTTGAGGGAGGAGCGCAGTCTGGGAATGTCCAGGGCTCACCTACCCAGAGTGGAGGCCGAGATCAGGCAGGGGTTGGCTCCCATAGAAGCAGGTGGCTACCCGGGGAAGACAGGTGGGGAAGGAATGGACCACTTGGCCATGCAAATCATCGATTGGAAGGACACAGAGAACCGTACCCAGGAGGATGAAAGACACTTTAAAGCGGGAAAGAGGTGCGGAGGGGGGTGGCCTGTGGGTAGGAGGGCTCTAACCTGTTGGCACTGGTGCGTCTGAATTGGTTTGGAGGCGTTTACACCTGCAAGGCGCTGGTCAGAGAGCTGATGTGGCTGAGGTTTCTCAGGGGGAGGCACACCTGTTCTGTGGGGAGCAATACTCACTCCACCTGGAACCCTCTGAACTTTGGGAAAGTCGGTTCAGAGCTGAGGAGAAGGAGAGGTGGGGTAGCTTCTCTAAGGTCACCCCGGGAGTAAGAGGTGACGAGCAATACTCACTCCACCTGGAACCCTCTGAACTTTGGAAAAGTCGGTTCAGAGCTGAGGAGAAGGAGAGGTTGAGAGCTTCTCTAAGGTCACCCCGGGAGTAAGAGGTGACATTGGCCCCAAGACTTCCAGCAGCTGAGGTGGGGCGGCAGCTGCCCTGGGCCTGAAACCGGCATCAGCCACCCCGGGAACGGACAAGGGCTGAATGGTCGTGGAGGAAGCCGGACTCCGGGCCACTGCTGAAGGGTGAGGGCTGCCTGCACGGGGGATCTGGGACTAGGAGGCCCCTTTGCGGACACGGCTTCTGCAAGGCTTCCTGGCTCACCCAGCAGCCGAGGAGAAGCGGGGAGAGGTTGTGCAAGCGCCTCCAGGACAGGAATGCAAGCCCCGGCTCCTGCCTTTGACAACTTGTCTAGACGGAGACATGGGAAGACGTGCGGCGGCAGCGATGGATGGAGCTGGCGGGGGCCTGGCGGGGAGGTGACAGCTCAGCTGAGACTTGAGTCTTCCTCACCTTTGGAAGGTTGGGAGGCAGAGAGGGATGAGCAGCTCAGAGCCCGCCCTGCACTCACTGTGGCGTGATCTCCACTTAACGGTTTCGATGATCAGAATCCTCGCCCAAAGCTTTCCTTGTCTCTCTAATCTGAGACTAATCACTCTGGGATAAAACCAGCTCCAGTTTAATCCCAAATCAGTTCAAGACATCTCTGGTTACTTCAACTTCTCTGCTCCTCGCAGACTGAGTAAATACTTTTAATTCAGTTTCACTGTTAGTCACTCCAGGGGAAAGTGAATTCTTATACAGCTCTTTTGTAAAGGACTTGGGTTTGTAAGCTAACATTTTAGTGTGATATAGAAAACCGTACATTAAAAAAAAAAAGATTATTCAAACCGCTCTAATTTTCTTTCCCCAAATTATTACATCATTCCTCTCTTCCGACCTTTTCAAAGTTTCTGGGGCCGATGGTGCTACCTGTTTTGACTCAAGAATTCACCACCTGGAAAACAAGTTATTTACAGGGGGCCGGGTACTTAACTACTAACACCTGTCACCGTTAACTTAGAATTGGTCGACAGGTAGGGAAAGGGCGAGAGCGTGGCCCAGGGTCAGTCCCACCGGGTTCAGTCCAGCTCTTCCTCTTGCTGTTGGGCAGGGTGGGAGCCTTTCTTCTGCCCAGGGCCATGTGGATATTTATCACATCGTTCTCGGGCCATACAACATTATCAACTTAAACATTAGCTGCTGGATTTGGTCAAACATTTAACTCACCCCTAATGCCTTGGCAGGGCCAGACCAAATGATTTCACCGACCTTACGTGGCCCAGGGGCCGGACGTTCCCCACCCCTGCTCTAGGTAAGCCCAGGCTACGTAGGAATACTTAATTTCTCCCCTATGAAGTTCTATTTAAGATCAATTCATACTTTAAAATGACTGAGGTTTTGCTGAGTCAATGACTATATTTCCAAATTCAACAACTTGCAATAAAAGTTTTGTGTATTCCTAGAATCTCCAGAAATGTTGATGTTTATCCTCATAGGAAATTAATTAAAAATTACATTTTAAGGACCAGGATTTATTTGATAATGTCAGATTCCCACTATTAGATTATTGTTATACTAGCTTCCCTGGTAAATAGAATATAGATTTAATGAAGCATAC